CTAGAGAGGACAGAAGGAGAGTGGATGCTTTTGAGCTGTGGTGCTGGAGAAGAGTACTGAATGTACCATGGACTGCCAGGAAAACAAAAAGATTCATCTTGGAGAGGATTAAACCAGGCTGCTCCTTGGAGGCAAGGATTCTGGGGCTTCGTCTGACATACTTTGGACATGTTGCCAGGAGTGACGGATCCTTGGAGAGGGACATCATGCTTGGGAGGGTGGAGGGACAGCGCAGGAGGGGAAGACCCTCTAGAGATGGATTGATTCGGTGACTGGTCAGAGGCAGTGCGGTTGGCGCAGGATAGAGCAAGGTATAGGGCTGTTGTGCATAAGGTCGCTATGAGTCGCAAACGACTCGACGGCACATAACAACAACAATTCATAGTTACAACAAGAACCGCTTAAAAGAAAATAGTCATTTCCTTTTTATTTTTTCCTCAGAACTTTTACGAAACATCAGGACACAAGTGCTCATAAAGTTAATTAAGCCTTACACAAGAATACATATTCCTTTTATTTCTAAGGTAAGTGATGAAAGTGAATTTATAATCAGAATACTTATATAAATACTTATGTCCATGATTTATAATGATATTTATAGTTTATGTTTATAAATATATTTTATCTTCTTGTTAAGGTACCTATGTTGTTGACTTTTTTCTTTTCTTCAGTTAAGCATAGCATAAAAATTTAATTTTAATTTGGCTTTTTCTGTGTTTTGGGGCATAAAATAAATTAATAATAAAAAAAAAGAACACTAAGAGAAGTTTTAAATCACCAATTAAGGGGGTAGAGGGTATAATTTCTAAAATCCAAGAAAAAATTGTAAAAGAGTAGTAGCTGAAGTGTATAATTTATAGAAAGTTACAACATAATAAAATTGTAAAGGGGGAGAATATACTTAAAAAGTTCAAAGTTATATTATTAAACCTTTATTTCCAGATATACTTTAAAATGATAATGAAGTTTGTGAAGGGGAAAAAAGTAAAATCTCTTAATTTGTTTCTAAATGATGAGAGTGAATTTAACATCAGAATTTATAAAATTAAAGACTCTTAAAATATTAATTAGTAGAATTAAAATAAGTCTTTTTGTCTTAGGAATTAAACATAGATGTAGCTGATGTGGAGAGCTTGCTGGTGCAGTGCATATTGGATAAGTAAGTGCTTTATTAATCACATTTGTTTAGGATCATATTTTATACACTAGTGATGATGATAGCACTTGAATTCTTGATTTTTCATGGAAAGCTGTTTCTGACTGTAAGGGGGTGTGTGTGTGTGTAATGACTTTTTTAATTAATGAATAGACATATAAAACATGTCTCTAAGAAGCTTAGAAAAGATTTTCAGGATTCTTATTCAGTATAGGATCGATAATGCAGCTAAAGAATTATTATTTCATTATGTTTTTAAATATCTGGTAGGTACACAGTGATTTTTTTTAAATTATTATTATTAATTTTAATGAGCATTTACAGAGTCTTTGGATTTCCATTCATTCATTGTTGACTTTTTCTCCCTGCCCACCTCTACCCCTCAGTTTGTTCTTCTCTTTGAAAAGTAGAATTCTTTTCATTGGTATACAATCCACCCTGACCCTCCAGTCCACTCTACTCTGCAGCTTTCCTTCTGGACTCTTGTCATGACCACAATACCCAATCATATATCGCTTTTAAACTGTTCTCGCTCTCACCTGTTTGGGTGCAGTATACATAATTTATCCAATCTTTCTCAGTCTCATTCCAACCCTAATGTCAGTCCCATTCTACATCAGTGGCACTATGCAGTATTTGTCCTTTTTTGACTGAGATCTTTCACAGCATAATGTCCTCCAGGCTTACCCATTTTGAATAATATTGCATGAGTTTCTTGTTTTTCAGTGCTGCATAGTATTCCGTTGTGTGAATATACCACAGCTTTTCTATCCATTCGTTTGTTGATGGGCACTTAGGTTGTTTCCAACTCTTCACTATTGTGAGCAAAGCCACAATAAACATGGGTGTGCATATATCTGCTTGGGTGGCAGTTACGATTTCTTTAGGGTAAATTCCCAGTAGTGGAATTGCTGGGTCAAATGGTATTTGTATTTGCAACTTTTTGAGAGAGCACCATACAGCCTTCCATAGTGGTTGCACCATTTTACACTCCTTCCAACAGTGAATAAGGGTTCCAGTTTCTCCACAGTCTTGGCTGTTATATTTTGCTATTCTTATTGGGATGAGATGATATCTCATAGTTGAGTAGAAAACTCACACAAGATCCACACCTCACTCCATACACAAAAACCAACTCAAAATGGATCATAGACCTAGGACTACAACCAAGGACTATAAGTTTTACTAAAGAAAAGCTTGGAAGAACTCTAGAAGTCATAATCCACAGCATAAACAGTATTCCAAGCATCCTGAAAAGTCCACAGCCAGGAGAGGATAACATAGATGAATGGGACCTTCTAAGAATTAAATCCGTATGCACACCCAAAAACTTCTCCAACAGGGTAAAAAGGGAAGCCACAGATTGGGAAAATATATTTGGTAATGACATGTCAGATAAGGGACTTACATCTAGAATTTATAAAATAACTTGAGCACCACAGCAAGATAACGGTAAATTTGGGCACAGGATATGAACTGACACTCCACCAAAGAAGACATTCAGATGGCAAACAAATATTTGTAGACATTTAGGCCAGTTGACATTTATGTCCCCCACACTCCAGACTCAGTACATAACTTACATAACTCTTGAAATTAGTTCATTCTTAAAAGTTACACATTATTTCTAAAAGTTTCACAAGTAACAGTTATAACTTGGTAAGTCTCTGACTTTTGGTTCTTTCTGTGAAACTGATGAAAAGCAGCTGAAATAAAGTTTCTACCTAGAGCATAAGTAATAAGAACTTGAGTTTATTCATTTCATGCAGACAGCAGTTCTTTTTCATTTTATGAAACATTTGTCCAGAAAATATGCTGAATGAAAATGACTTATAGACATATCTTTTATTTACTTCCAGCACTATTCATGGCCGAATTGATCAAGTCAATCAGCTCCTTGAACTGGATCATCAGAAGAGGGATGGTGCATGATATACGGCACTAGATAAATGGACCAACCAACTAAATTCTCTCAACCAGGCTGTAGTCAGTAAACTGGCTTAACAGAGAACAAGCTTTTACAGACGTACTTACAGCAACAGTGCAGAGATGTAACCCTTAAAAAACTGGGAATGGCAAAACTACTGTCGGTTGATGTGTCCTGAAAATATTGGAGTTATGGCAGAAGTGCTTTTTTAATCAACTGGTTTGTGTTTTGCTGCTGCATTTATCCCAAGATAAACAGCTTTAATCTCCAGAAGAAAACCAAAATGCCATGGGATTTATGCTGTATTGACATCTTGCCCTAAACATACATCATAGTAATTTGTCATGGGCAACATGACCAGAGAGAAGATTTTTTTGTCATGATTTTAAATACACTGACACGCTACTGTTGGTTAAATTTAAACATGTTTTACCTGCAGAAATTCTCTCACAAGTAACCTGCAATAACTTGAAATACATACCCTTTTGAACACTTCCTTTTCTTGTGTATAAATTAAAATGTTTGCTGCATTTTGCAAAATGTCAATTCTTCAAAAAATGTGTCCATATATTTCTGTACCTGCAGTGTAGTAAAGGTTTAGATGAAACCCCATAATTATAGTGGCATACTGTCACTTAGGTTTCAAGCAGCAAAATAAACAGTGCAGCTCAGAAATTGTAGTTTGATTCTTGATGTGTTTTTATTACATTGGGGTTTTTGTTTTGTTTCTTAGTATCATAGAGGCTTCAAGTTACTTTATCTTCTGTTAATGATTTAAAAAGAATAAACTCTGAGGTCAGATATATTGGTTATTTGCTTTCAGGTTTATAAAAGTAATTTTTACTATTAAAGTAAGGATAACTAGTTTCTAACAGCACTAGAATAGTACTGACTTTGACAATAATGCTTTAAAGTTTGTTTTTTGGGTTTTTTTTAAAGAATAATATTCCTTTTTTAAAGGGAATAAAAATCTTAACTATTGGAATATTTAAACAAATATTTCAGAACATAGACAGCTAAATGAATGTTACTCTGCATAGTGATCATGCTGGAACATTATTTTCTAATTCCAGTAGTCTACCGTTGCTCAAAGCCTCTTGGCTTTTGTTCTTTTAGAATTGCATTCAGAGCTAATTTAAATCACACTATACTATTGATTTTATGATTACACATGGTTGGTTGTTTTGTTTGAGGTTTTTAAAACTTTGCCAGATTTTCAAGCTTGACTCTTCTTTGCCACCATAGTTTGACAGTCTCCAAAAAATTAAGTCTGTATTTTAGGTAATAGTAGAAAGTATACAGCCAGCTTTGAAGGCAATTCAGAAAGAGTTTCAAGGGTGTTTTGAGCAGTGTCACCATAGTAAAAAGAATAAACTGTGACCTTCCAAGGACCTTAAAGGAAACTCAGCTCATTTGAATGTATTACGTTTTGGATATATTTGTTTCGTTTTTTAAAAAGGTCACATTATTTTATAGCAGGCAAAATAAAAAACTAAAATTAAGATAATTCCTTTAGTTTTTTCTATTTGTTATGTAAAAAGCAAGTGACAGAGGAAAACTTGTAATCAAAGAATGACACGCAAGAATTTTTGATCATTAAATCAGATTTTATAAGTAATGGAAGGAGCATGAACTTAAGGCATGCTTAATTTGGTTTTGTCAAAATTTTAAGAAAATATGTGATATATATTTATACTAAAACTATATAACCCTTAGATTTAGGAAAGCAATCAGTTAATGTCTTTAGAAGATTAAAGCAGTATAAAATACAGGAACATGTTGAAAATTGTCAAAAAATGACAGACAAAATTAATGTCTATGGTAGGGAATAAAAAAGGTAAAATGTGTATTTTCTTGTTTTACATAAATAATTTGTGGAAAAAATGTGCTAATTTTTTTTACAAGAGTGATATTCATTAGGATTTATTTTTTAGTATAATTTGGAGACTCTTTGTTACCCAAATAAAAATTATGAGTTTCTGTGCCTATTTAAATATGTATGCATGTGATGACCATGAAAAGCTGAAGTCCTGCTTAACTTTCAGTTGATGGAAATAGATTTCAGAGAATTTGAAAATGTCTTAGCGATTGCCTTCCACCTCTTACAGTGCCCAGTTCTCTAATGGTATCTTTGCTATGTGCGAGAGTGCATCTTCCAGTTTCTAGAAGGAATGCATGTACTTGTTATTCTTTGGGAAAAAAGAACTATATGACATATAAAATATATGACAGTATTTAACTCACTGCATAATTTTTATTTACTTGTAATTTTGTGCATATCAGTGTAAAAATCAAGCAGAACACACTGCCATGGAGACGGTTCTGACTCATGGTGATCCTCCATCCAGGTTGTAGATTTTGAAGGGAGGAGACTGCCGGTCAGTCTTCTGTAAAGCAATTAATTGATTTAAATCACTGACCTGCCCTTCAAATCACTAATCTTCAGTTTATAGACTGATACACTGTGTCACCAGCACTCATCTTGTTTTCTAATACAGTATTCCTCAAATGCAGATTGCTGCCTTTTGTTGTTGTTGCCTCGTTTGTTCTTAGAGCAATCTTAAAGAGTGTGATTGAAGCCATTTTTCCTCTTCCAGTATCTTTGTAGAGTGGAAATCTGCCCTATATTGGTTATTGAAATAGACTTCAATTTAAGAGAACTAAAAAATTACAAATTCCTAACATCCAGTAATGCTAATCTTTTTGTGTATGGAAAGATACAATTTACACTTAGTGTAATATATTCATTTTGCCTTTGATTTCACCACAAACTGGCTTCTACTACAAATACAAGATCTCCGTCTCCTCTACTTATTCTTGCTCTTACATTCACTTTTTTTATCCCCCACATCTGAAAGTAATCAGTTTTCAAAGGAGTATGGCTTTCATTGCGGATATCCCTTCTAATAATTAACAAGGTTGATTATCTTTTCAAAACTATTGCAAATTTTATTTTCTCATTGTAAATGTAGTTTAAATGAAGCCTAATTTAAATTGGATATCCGTGAATTGCAAAAAAAGCTCTCTTGGGAATTTAAAATATAAAAGCAACTGAGAAATTTTTTTAAATTTAGTGTTAATAATTTTAATTATTCTTGAGTGCACACAGGTAAGTAAGCTCCTTTTAGCGTGGGATACAGGTGTCATCACTACAGGAAGCAAATTATGGGTAGAACATTAATTAGATGGGTCTTCACCACCTTCCCCCATTCTCAAATTCTAGAGCTAAAATAGCTACAATCAACTTTAGGTTCAGAATATGTAGATAGGTAAATCTGTCTCTTGAGTGTCAAGGATGCCACTTGGATCTCTATCATAAGAGACATTTATACTCTAACCATTTCTGTTCCAAGACTGTTTTGTTTATTACTATTTTAAGACATTAAAGTGAAATGTAAGCATACATAGCTCTAGTAAAGCTAACAGTTTTATTTATGTGGGATTTATTAAAAATATATTTCAAAAAAGATAAATATTTTTTAACAATGAAAATAAAAATAAACTTTTGAATTTATTCCAACGTATATTTTAAATAGAAATGCAAAACCCACCTGTTGAGGTACCTGGACTGTGTGTTGAAAGAGAAAGGTGAGCAGTCTCTTCCCACACAGTTTACAGCCTCTGAAATCCAGCAGGAGGACCAGCTCTGAGTTAGTTATGACTCAGTGGCACATAACAAGAAGAAGACTAGGTACCAGAACTTAGAACTTGAAGTTCTAAGCCTTTGGTCTTTCTGTGATCAAAATTAAAAATTCCATTCCTTTTCTTAGAAGGTTGTTATTCATTCAAAATTCTACTTTGATACAATCTTATGGAGAAGTTTAAACTTAATGTAAGTCTGAAGCAGGGCACAAATGCTGAGTGCATGGCTGAAGAAAAGACTGAGTTTTTACTATGAAAATTGTCATTTACTGTCGAGTTGGAACCTACTTAGTTCTCACCTTCCATGGGGTTTTCAAAGACCATAAATTAAACAGAAGATTTCCACCTTTCTCTGGTAGAGCAGCTGGTGGATTCAAAAGAATGGTAGTGCCATTTCACCAGTTGACCCCCACTGCTCCCTCCTGTGAAGATTACAGCCTGGTCAAACTTTATGGAATAGTTCTTCTCCGTCCTGTAGATTTGGAATCAACTTGATGGCACATGACAACAGTGTAAGCCTATTACAGGTTCTAGTCAAGATTATTTCATCTGTATTTTCTAGGTACAATATATGTCACTGATGACTTGGTGTAACCAGTGATTCAGAAATTTTATTGTCTGAATCATTAAGTGAAATTTGAGAGGGTTTGATATTTGGAATTTTAGAAAAGGCATTAAGTTAAAAAGTTTAGCCATTTTAAAAAATTTATGGCAGTGATTACCATCAGTCAAAACCAACTGAACTGCCAGTGATTTTCAACACTTGGCACCAGCAATTACAAAATCAAAAGCCACTTTGGGGAAGTATGCTTTCAGGGACCTCTCCAGAGTGCTAAAAAGCAACAATGTCAGTCTGGAGACTGAGGCGCACCTGATCCAAGCCATGGTCTTCTAAGTATTTCCTATGCATCTGAGAGCTGGGTAATGACTAAGCATGACAGATGAATCAATGCCTTTGAATTGTGCTGGAGAAGAGTATTGAACATACCATGGAATGCCAAGAGCACAAACAAGTCTGTCCTAGAGAGACTGAAACCAGGCTGCTCTTTGGAAGAGCTCCAACTCGTTATTTGGGCATATGGGCAGGAAGTACCAGTCCTTGAATGACATCACACTTGGAAGAGTGGCTAGGCAGCTAAGGAGAGGAAGACCCTGGATGAAATAGATTGACACAGTGGCAGTGGCAATGTGGGTAAGTGTGTCAGAGACACTGACATAGGCTCGCTATAGAGCAGAGTTGAGAGATACTGTTCATAGGATTGCCATGACTTGTAATTGAGTTGATAGCACATAACAATAAGTATTGGTAACAGGCTCAACTGTGCCAGAGATGATGAGGATGGCACATGATAGGACAGGGTTCAGATCTGTTCATAGGGTTGCTAGGAGCCTTGGTGGCATGCACTAAAAGACCTGTTGGAATAATTAAAAATGG